ATTATATATAGCAATAGCAATAGCACTTAGACTTATATACTGCTTCACAGTACTTTACAGTCCTCTCTAAGCGGTTTACAGAGTCAGCCTCTTGCCCCCAACAATTTGGGTCCTCATTTTACCAACCTCGGAAGGATGGAAGGCTGAGTCAACCTTGAGCCAGTGGGACTTGAACTGCCAAACTGCTGGCAATCAGCAGTCAGCAGATGTAGCCTGCAGTACTGCACTCTAACCACTGTACCACCACTGCTCATATAGCACAATAGCCATGTTCAGTGCTTGAAGTAATAGTGAAATACGCTAATAAAAGATTTAATGCACAAAGGAATAGCTCTGTGCTGCATAAAAGGTTAATCTAATCTGATTACTGGTATGTTTTGGGTCTTGCTAGTTCTGTTGCTTTTATATGCATTTTAAATGGGCAGATGTTGCCCAGAATGAGAAAAATTCCCTATTTTCAGTTAGCATTATGATTATACCTTATATTGGCTTAGGCAAAACAGAAAAACATTTATTGAATCAGTAAAAAAAGATAGTGCAGCATTAGACATTCTCTGATAAGTGATAACTAATATTTTTATTAGGTCTTCCTACTCCTAAACCAGCATTTATGTATTGTGCACGGCAGCCTTTAAAAACAGCAAATGAATCCTCTGAATCGGATGAGGAATGGACACCATCACTTATAGGTATGCTATCAAAATAATGTTGATAACAACAAAAATATCTGTAAGTGTGCCGAATATTAAAATATAATAGAATACAACTCTTGCTTCAGAATGAAGTAACCAATGATATAGAACTTGCAATCCAAATGTAAATAATCACAAAAATGGATAAAAATTTAAATGCTATGCATGCTATTAATCTTAAAGCAGACTTCTCAGTTGTTAAGAACTGCTTAGAGAAAAATGAAATATTGTTCTTTATATGAGATGCAACACCTTTAGTGTCCCTTTATATTTTTTGATAATATTTACCGGTAACTAGTATAGTTTGAAAGGTTGTATTCTATATACAATAAGTGGAAAAATTGTCATGTAGTAATATCAGTGTAGCAAAATAACTGTATAATTCTTCAACCTCTCCATGGAAATATAGATTACAATATTGGATTTTATATGCTGTACTTTATTTTTCAGATTTCCAAACAAAAGCTGTGCCTGAAAAGAAAAAGGAAAGGAAAAAAGAACAGAACAAGGAAATTAGCATTTACAGATTACGGAAAAGAGATAGAAAAGCATACATGGAAATAAATGAACCAAATGATGATGACTACTTGTGTGAGAGGCACTTTTTAAATCTTTTTTTCCCCATTTCTCTTAAGCAAACTTTATATATGCTTATAGATTTAATAATTTTGCAGTGTTTTTCAAATGATTTACTAGCTTTAAAACTATTGTATTAAATAAGCAGGATGGTGTGTGTGTGTGTGTAATGTAAACATACATACTCAAAGTTTGTCAGAATTGGCTAAGAAAAACAATTATAGATTCTCAATCAGTAGTTCTATTATGAAAATTTTGTTTTTGTGACACAAACAGGTCCCCAACTCCCTGTTGGGAACCGGGCTGAACAAGTGGCGATGGAGCGTGCGTGCATAGGTAGTTACATTTGTGTATGCAGCATGTGTGCGAAACCATCCCCTCTCCCATGCCACCAGTCTGCACAGCTGCAAAATTTGGAGATTGTTGACACACAGAGGTTTTTGTATTACAGACATTAATGTAAAAATAAAATGCTCTTACCTGACACTGTTCTAATAATGTCATCATGTTTTGCCATGATAGTTCCTTCCTTTGATCCTAATGGCTTCCCAATACAGGAGGTTTTTTTATTTTAGTTTTTTAGTGTTTTTACATTATCTACCAACAGAGAGAAGGAAAACATAGCAAATAAGTAACGACTTTTAACAGGTTCTAGAGGGACAAATCAAAAATATATGACCACATAAACAGTGGTAAATGTATCATCTGTGCTCTTTGTTTCCATTTGTGTGCAGGATAGTTTTGTTAAGCTTTTGAAATTTTTTTGCTGTTTATTGGCAAACATTCTTTCACAATATGCAGCATTTCCACATGTATACATTTCCTACATACAGGAGGAAATTAAATTTTGCCAGGATTTATTCTTTAGCTTCCAGTCTAGTCTGCAGCTTTAGGATTTTCTGGTAATTTCACTTTCAAGTATTAAATAGTCCCAACCTTGCTTAGTTTCCAAGCAGACAAGACTAGCCAGCTGCTGTCACCTTCTGAGCCTTAAACCTCAACTCATCTGTTATTTTGTTATTTACATAATTGGTAGGCATAAAAATGGGTAGGATAGAAATCATAAATGGATCCTGAGGTCATCACTGAGATGCAAACATTTTCCAGTCATATTCATAATATATATTGCCTATAAAAAACTAAGAAAACTGAATTTAACAAAGGCTAATTCGTTAGACTCTCACTCCATATTTACTTATCTCTTTCCACTTTCTTAGTTTGTGAATATTGCCTGACTTTCTTTGTTGATGAGTGTTCTGTTCATGGCCCTCCACTTTTCATCAGAGACACAGCAGCTGAACTAGGAATGGCAAATAGAGCCACCTGCACTTTACCTTCAGGTTTTAGAATTGGTCTTTCAAGTATCCCCAGAGCTGGTTTTGGAGTCTGGAATGAAAGGGAAACATTGACTCCAGGAATTCATTTTGGACCATATGAAGGGACAAGGACAGAGGAAGAAGCGGCAGCAAACAGTGGCTATTCCTGGCTGGTATGATCACAGTACTTCGATTTTAGAATAGAATAGAATAGAATTCTTTATTGGCCGTGTGATTGGACACACAAAGAATTTGTCTTTGGTGCATATGCTCTCAGTATACAAAAAAAAAGATACATTCATCAGGAATCATAAGGTATGATAGTCATTGGGTACAAATAAGCAATCAAATCATACTAGGAAACAATATAAATCGTAAGGATACAAGCAACAAAGATACAGTCATATAGTCATAAATAGGAGGAGATGGGTGATAGGAACTATGAGAAAATTAATAGTAATGCAGACTTAGTGAATAATGTGACTGTTGATGGAATTATTTGTTTAGTGGTGGTGGCATTTGAGAAAAAAAATTATTCTTGTGTCCAGTTGTTCTGGTGTGCAGTGCTCTATAGTGTCATTTTGAGCTTAGTGAGGTAAGAGTTGAAACAATCTATGTCATGCAAGGGATCTGTAAATATTTTCACAGCCGTCTTTTTGACTTGTGCAGTGTACAGGTCCTCAAACTAATTTGTGTTAAACTACCCTGTTGCTTTATAGATAGTCCTTGACTTGTAAGTACAACTGGGTTCAGAATTGTGATTGCTAAACAATTTGATAGTAAGACAAGATCTCATATGACTATCACTTAGTGACTATAATTCCAGCAGTCCTAGTTACCATCTTTAACTGAGAATGGTGGGTCATGGGAATACTTACCGCAATCCACCCATACCATACACCTGATCAGTAGTGAGAGCAAGATGGTGAAAGTCAGCCTGGGTGATTAGAGCAAAAGGACATAAATGGGAGAGAGAGAGATGCGGGTGGGGAAAATTGAAGCACCTCTGAGGTCATAAGTATGGGAACTGCTAAACATCTGAGTTTTTAACTCATGACTGCAGGGGTACTACAACATCCATAACTTTGGGAGCAGGTTGTAAGTCCCTTTGTTTAGCACTATCATAACTTATAATGGTTGCTGAACAAATGATTACAAGTTGAGGACTACCTGTACTTAATGTATACCTTTAAGCACGCTCATCTGTAATAACATGAAACAGTATTTTCTCCATTGTGATGTGTAACAATGGAAACCCCTCTCTAGATAAGTTTTATTGCTTTTGGTACTTTGCAATTTGTTTGAATCAAACAAGTTCAAACCATAATTTTATAAATATAAAGTAGGGAAATATGTTTTGATATTATTTTTTCTTATCATTAAGTAAAAAAAGTCCCTATTTCCTAGAGATTAATTAAGGTTAGGGATGTTATTATATTATTACTATATTACAATGAAATCATTATTCATAATTGTATAAAGTCCACATTGATATACATAGTTCATGTCTATTATATTTACAGATTACCAGAGAGCAGAATTGTTACATTTACGTTGATGGAAAAAATGAAACTAATTCCAACTGGATGAGGTAAAAATCTTTGATAAAATTAAAGAGATTTTTGTATTTTTAAATTTTAAAACCTAGCACTTTCCCAGAACCATTCTGTCTACTTCCCTCCTTCGCCACCCCACAAAGCTGGAAAGGTTGGAGACCGTTGACCTATGCTACAAACAAGTCAACCTGCAAACTATCTAAGCTAAATTACATGATTTTAATACCATATAATACAGCTGTATTGGACAATATCAACTTTGTGAATATAACAATTTCATTGATCTAAATAAAATTCCAGGTGTTAGTTTTATAAGTCACAGTTGTATAAATTTGAATTGTAAGAAACAAAGAAAATATTATGCAAGGAATTTGGTATAATTATATCTAGACAGATAAGTCAAAACTAGAACAGTATATTTCTGCCCACTCAGCTATACTTGCATTATAATATCGTCTAGTAGTCAAGAAATTTTATTATAATAGAGGAACATGGTACAATGAAAATTGCTTCCAATATCTTTGATAAGTACAATGTCAGGATCATCAAGCTTTCAGTGCTTGCTTAAAATGGACTAACATAATGATTAATAATAGAGGTAGATCAACACATAGAGAAATTGAATTATAGTGATATCAGAAAACAAGGATAAATATTGAATAAAAGTTTGTTTTTTTAATGGGAACAGTTTTATATAGCTATAGATGGTGGATAGTATTTCACTTTCCATGTATGTAAAACCTTTTGTCTATTTACAAAAAAGTGATCTTTACCTGAGAAAGTTTACAACTGGAAAAAATGATCACACAAACTTTCTAATTTAGCTTCCTTTAGACTTTCTCTAGCTGAAAAGAACATCTGAATAACAGCTATTTGTAATAGCAATGGCTAAATAATACAAAATATTAATATTTCATATATTATGTATTGTCTTCATTATTTTCTTTATGAATATAAATGATCTGGACTTTTAAAACTATTTCTCCTTCATTTTGGTCATCGCCCAAATTATTCTACATTTTCTGGGGATAATTTTTAAATAAGTGTAGAAATAATGATCCGTTCATGATCTGAGAAGTTCCCCAAAACTTCTTGGTTTCAGTTTTGTTTAAATCATCCTAAATTCAAGCACAGGTCTATGCTATTATCAATGCACAGGACAAAATTTAGAAGCAGGTTGTCACTTTCCAGATTTGGGAATAATAGAACTGGTCTTAAAAATACCTCTTTGCTCAATAGATTTTGTCCAGAGACCAAAATTGCTATAACTCTGAACATACTACTATCTCACTGATATATTTCCCTATACAAGGGCAAAAATAAAAAATACATTTTTTGGGGGGAAAAACACTGATAGTAATATTCTAGGTCTGTGACTTACTATAGCACAATTGTATGTATGTATGCATGTATGTATTTGATTTATATACTACCTTTCATTTAGTATCACAAGGTGACTTCATATGGGTAGTCATCGACGTACGACCACAATTGAGCCCAAAATTTATGTTGCTAAGTGAGAAATTTATTGAGTTTTGCCTAATTTTACAACTTTTCCTGCCACATTTGTTAAGTGAATCACTGCAATTGTTAAGTTAGTAACATGGTTGTTAAGTGAAATCTGGCTTCCCCATTGACTTTGCTTGTCAGAAGATTGTAAAAGGTGATCACATGACTTTGGGACACTGCAGCTGTCATAAATGTGAGCCAGTTGTCAAGCATCCAAATGTAAATCCTATGACCATGGAGATGCTGCAATGGTCATAAATATGAAAAATTGTCATAAGTCACTTCTTTCAATACTGTTGTAACTTTGAATGGTGACTAAATGAACTGTTGTAAGTCAAGGACTACCTGTATTTTCCCCCACTACAATAATATTGTGGGGTAGGTTGGACTGAGAGAGAATGACTGGCCCAGATCTAACCAATTTCCTGGTTTTTTGATAACAACTTTTCCTTTTAACATCAGTCACCCTTTTAAAAATAGGTATGTTAACTGTGCCAGGAATGAGGAAGAACAGAATCTTGTTGCTTTCCAGTATCATGGGGAAATATACTACAGAACATGTAAAGAAATTCAACCTCATTCTGAGCTCTTGGTTTGGTATGGAGAAGAATATGGAAAGGAACTTGGCATCAAATGGGGATCTAAATGGAAATCGCTAAACGGTATATTGCTAGATTATTTGTTGCTTAAATTAATAATGATAGCTTTAGACAAAAGGACCCCAAATTTAATATCTAAGGAAGTATCTAATTTTTCCATGGGGCCTTTAGTGCCTAGTAATTTAAGACCAGAGGCCAAAATATTGAGGGGGGGGGGATTCAGCTTCACAAATGAAATTGTAGCTCTATACCATAAGATGCCTAGGAACAATTTCACATAGTCAGTGTCTGTTGACACAACTGACGTTTTGGACATGCGTGTGACTTCCAGAATTTTGCCAGTTCTTATTCCACTTTTAAGTAGCATCTTATTTGAAGGATGAGAGATAATTTGTATTTGTACTACTACTGTATAATAACAACATGATTATAGCCATTTGGCATTGGTTACATTCATAATATGAATATTGATCCATGGCTCATATTTTTGTTACAGTAAGAGTTATTTTTAATAGATGATAGAATAAACAAATCTTTAGAAGTCCTGCCCTTCTTTTCCTCTCAAACACAAGTCTTGAAAGCTATTTTAATAATGGTAGGAGTAGAAATATATGTTACATTTGTCTGGCCCTAAACATTACCAGTTTTTCTGAAATCTTTTTTACTATTAGTATATTGTTTCCATATTTTCTGACTTAACCAGATTTGACAACTAGGCTATTAGATACAGTATGTTGGTTCATCAACAGAATAAAAGCTAAATAATATTATTTGAGGCTACAAGTAGGGATGCCTTTTTAATGCATTTTTAATATTTTTCATGTAGAAAATAAAACCTAATCAGAAGAAATTCTTGTTCACAATAAGTTATATGTTGACAGTGATATATTAATACATATATAGTTTAATGCAGAATAATCTTCATAAAAGTGCATTGCAAATTCAGATTGTTTAGTCCAGTTTATCATATCATTCTGTTAAGCTCAAATGTAGTTTAACATCTTGTGTAAAACTTTCCAAGAAATAAGTTATGCCTTGAAAGAATTAAAATTAAATTATTAACAATAAATAATTACCATTATTTTTAAATCCCATTTTTATACTGTATGGGTAACTGCAAATTATCTAATTATATATCAGTAATAAGCAGTGATATAATAAGTATCGTGAACTCTTTAATGTGGAAGAAAAGATATAAACTCCAAAGTCTACTTTTTCATTCCTGGACTATAAAAAAGTAAGAAAGTATACATCATAATAGGTTCCTCATATAAATAGTCCTTTTTTGCCACTAATTTTATTTTTTCTTTGCAAATAGTTCACAAGCAGAATTCATACTTGGTGAAGAAGCAACAAATAGTTTGCCATCAGTGTCCCAGTTGTGAGAAAGCATTTACTTGCAAAGATTATCTCATCCGCCACATGAAATGGAAGCATTCTGGATTTATAATACTTGCTGAAGAAAAAATACTGACAGAAAAATCATTACCCAAAATAAGAAGTTATGCTTCCTGCCAAGTTATGGTGCAATATAGAATACTAAGCAACATGAACAAAGGTAAAGATGGTGAAATGCTTTTTTTGAAAGATAGAAATGAAGAAGCAGAGAATAAAAATCATAAAAACAATGGAAAAAAACATTTTCAGTTGGTTACTCACTATCAGAAACATAGAGGAAAGCCATATTTATGTAAAGAACGTGTAAAAAAGGTTGATGGATCATTACTATGTCTGATCAGACAGAAGGGGGGGCATATAGGGAAGAGGTTTCATTCATGCAGAAAATATGGGCTAGGTTTAAGTCAATCACCAGGACTATCCACTTGGAAGAAAACACATGTAAGAGACGAGCCATACTCATGTAGAGAGTGTGGGAAAAGCTTTAGCCGATCAGCAACCCTGACCATTCACATGCGGATGCACACAGGAGAGAGGCCGTATTCATGTAGGGAGTGTGGGGAAAGCTTCACTGTCTCATCAACACTGGCCACTCACATGCGGACGCACACAGGAGAGAGGCCGTATTCATGTAGGGAGTGTGAGAAAAGCTTCACTGACTCATCAACATTGGCCACTCACATGCGGACGCACACAGGAGAGAGGCCGTATTCTTGTAGGGAGTGTGAGAAAAGCTTCACTGACTCATCAACACTGGCCACTCACATGCGGACGCACACAGGAGAGAGGCCGTATTCTTGTAGGGAGTGTGAGAAAAGCTTCACTGTCTCATCCCACTTGGCCACTCACATGCGGACGCACACAGGAGAGAGGCCGTATTCATGTAGGGAGTGTGAGAAAAGCTTTAGCCAATCAGCAACCCTGACCAATCACATGCGGTCGCACACAGGAGAGAGGCCGTATTCATGTAGGGAGTGTGGGAAAAGCTTCACTGTCTCATCAACCCTGACCAATCACATGCGGTCGCACACAGGAGAGAGGCCGTATTCATGTAGAGAGTGTGGGGAAAGCTTCACTGACTCATCAACCCTGACCAAACACATGCGGACGCACACAGGAGAGAGGCCGTATTCATGTAGAGAGTGTGGAAAAAGCTTTAGCCAATCAGCAAACCTGACCAAACACATGCGGACACACACAGGAGAGAGGCCATATTCATGTATGTGAGTGTGGGAAAAGCTTCAGTGTCTCATCAGTAATGCTTCTTGTGGTGCCCAGTATTCATCAAGCTTGTCATAGGCTAACTGTCTAGTAGTGTGGCTAAATATATAAACATAAATTATGAAATATTTTTTGATATGAGTAACACATCTTCAATAAAGAATATATCAAAGTCATAGATTTTGAATCAAAAAATAAAGTTTAGTTTATAAAGAAAACTAATTAAGAAAAAGGGAAGTTTAAGATATGTTTGTATCACCATAGGATTATAACAGAGGATTGATTAAAACTGTCAAATGTTGAAGTGTTATCCCATGAAAATTGTTGGCACCCACTAAAGCCAAAACCCATTGTCTTTGGAATTTATCCCACCACCACATGTTTTTGCTACTGTTTGCTCTGTGAAAAAAATAAGGTAAACTCTTTCCTGTATTCACAAGTCTGCAATGTAAATAAAGCTATATTTTCCCTTAAAGAATGGGAAAATATTAAAATGGCAAATAAACAGTGAGGAGAAACATTGCAGTGGTTATTTGTCCTCGTCATATCCTTTTATTTTTATTTTTCCAGATGTCATAAGAATTAATGTTCTACCAGGGTGAATTGTTGCTGGACATCCTAAACCTCTGAGATGCTCCTTTTTAAAATAATGGCAATTAGGAATCTGAATTACAAAATAGCATATAATCAGAGTATTTTTTTGTTTGGAAAAGCAAGGATATGTTTTTGCTTATTTCATTTATGTTATTCTATTCTAGCCAATTACTACTCAAGATTAAATTTATACAATTATTATTATCTAAGAATAGGAAAATACAGAGTCACCATTATATATATATATATATATATATATATATATATATATATATATATATATATATATATATATATATATATATATATATATATATATATATATATATATATATATATATATATATATATATATATACACATACACACACATTATCAGCAAGAGATATCAAAGAATTTTAAAATAACCATTTTCAATAAACTAGAAAATGACAATGAGGCATTTTAAATTCATGGTTTCTCTGGTTTCTCTAGCTGTAAATCAATCACTTTGACATTGCCTATGTCTTGGTAGGTAGCTTGTAAACCCCTGGAGATGTCCTCATACATTGAGCAATCATCCAGATTCAGCCCCTAAAAGGAAAAGACAAAGTTCATTATTCTGAAAGTCATATATTGAGGAAGTTAAGGCTAAATTCCTAAATGACTTTGGATTACTGAGCAATTAATATATTTCCAATTGGAAAAATGCCTTCCACTGATGAATATCAGGATCCCTCTTGTGCCCCCGCTCCCTCTCTAGCACCATCATAGCTACACTATCTATGTATTCTTGCACTATAGTTTGGAGTACTGTAGATGATAGTAGAATAGGTCTCTTAACTGGAACCTCTGTTTTCATTGTTATATAGCCCATTATTTCATCTCCCTTCCTTCTGCAATATGCCAATGAAACATTCCATTGACTTACTTCATACAGATTTTCCTCTTCACAAGCTTTCTTCTTGGCCTGCAAGAGACGCTCATTTTCCCATCTCTTCTGCAAAGAAGACAAGAAGAGACTAGGATTCATGAAAAGTTAACTAATATTATTCTTTACGTTCTATATCTAACTTCAACTTTAGTGAAATTAGTATAAAATGTTTTAGTACCGTACTTATGTATTGTACTATACACAAATAAAAACATACTCAATAGAAGATGCCTAAAGGCAAACTAAGTGCCTTACTCCTATAATTTTTATCCAGTCTACGGTATTTAGATGGGCATGTTCTGAATCCATTTAATCAGGGATTGTTATCTAGCAGTCCAATCATCGTCCCCCGCCAATCTAGAAAAAACAGACTGCCCTAGATTAAATTCTAGTGCTCATATTTCAGAAAGCCTCAAAGGCCAGGCTGTGCCCAGGCATGGGGGTCAGGAAAGCAATGGATCCCACATGTTTTCTATGCCTTCTTACGCAGTCATATGAATTTTATACCTTTATAAATATATTATTTCTGAACCTTTGTTAGCTGCCCAGAATAATAGTGAAATAGGAAGGTATATAAAACAATGTAAGTAAATAAAATCAACCAGGAAAAAATTGCATGCGCAGATAGTAAACATCTGTTTGAATAGGCCTTCTCACATAGCTGAATAAATTCAACTGTCACATATATGAAGAGCTTGGATGCAGATCTTCATGTTGGACCATAAACTGGAAGAATTAAAAAAAACCCATTTCATTCAATATTTACTATAATAGACAAGATTTATACTATTACGGAGCTGTTGTAAGCAGATTGTAGGTAGGTCCACTGATTTTCATATGGAAATGGGTATGTAACAATGAATATTTGACAGTTAATAGGCGATGGATTTAAGACACAGGATGCAGTTTGTTTGTTTATACTTACAGTCTGTGCCTAATTTTTCATTCCCCTGATGAAAAATCTGTTTGAGACTCACATATGACGCTTTGCATTTAATGATGGAAAAAATAGATATATGTGATACTGTAGGAATATTCTGCTAATAGCAGGCATCAGTAAATTTTTATTTTGAGAAGCCAGCTATACATGCCTCCTGGACATTCTGGGCATGTCACAGAAACAGTTACTTAGATTACTGCCAATTGGATCTGATGTAGTGCCCATATTGTGAAAAAAATGTTGAAAAGAAATTCAAAATATAGTTCCAAGAATAATAATCTCCTAATGATACTTTTGAAACCAGTTGCTTTTTCCATTACTGTAAACTGTCTGCTAATGCCTCTGTGAGGAAACAGAACATTCTTTAACATGGTGATCAAAAGCAGAACAAGATCTGGTGACTGGAAACTATGCACAAACAGAATCAGAATGGGTCATACTATATATGTATGTATGGAAATGATACATGAAGGGAAAAAACAGCTCACCTTGAACAGCAGAAAAAGGCTAGGACCAATGGCACAGATAAGCAGAAGGAATCCCTCCACAGTGATAATCTTGTTTTTAATGGATTCACTCATATTCAGGAAGGAGACGGGGCGAGGTCCTAGAACACAGCCAGAAATGGACAATTGATTTGGAAACCTCATAACATTCCTGTCCTTCCTATTTACCATCCACTTGGAATTCTCTTTTTCAGAATTATCTGCGCTGCCAAGTTCGTCTTGCTGCAAATCACAGCTATGTCTATTAATTCCCTAATGGTACTTTTGTCAAATACCAATTTTTGCAAAATGGCAAACACATTGACAAAAAAAGACTGACATAGGTCAATTTTAAACCCCGTGGTTGTATTTGCACAGCATTCTTACCTTAGCTAGTTTTAATCCTGGTTAATGGTGGGTGACTTGTTTATTGTAATTACTGGCCATTTATTAAACTGTTGGGTTTATTTTATTGTAAAAATCCAGTACATGGGTTAGTTCAGTAATCGGCTAAAGCACGTTAGTTAAACATAGGCAGCTTAAGGATGTTATTTGCTTGGCTCAGACTCAGTTTTATTGAGCAGGTTTATATGCATTGATGTATGTATTTAAATTGCATATATTTCCCAGCCAATTAATCAACCCAAACAGGCAGCATTATCTAACTAAATATCCATGGCACCAAGTAGACTTATATTGGTCTTGTTGATGTGTTTTATGCACTTAAACGCATGTACCTAGAAGAGCATGGATGACACACAATGACCTGAAACCTTTGCTTGTTTAATTTAGAATTCTTCTATGCCAAGTCAGCTGTCTGGATTTCTCCTTTGTACATGTCTCTTCCTCCAACAGGTTTTGCAGACACCTCCTGACCATTTAAAAACTTCAAAATTAACATGTGTGGGCTGGAGGTGCATCATATCACAGACAAACAATTTCAAAAAGGAAATGAAAGTTCCAATTCACAGTGTATTGTGATGGAGCATATTAAAAAAAAGAAGACTGAGATACTGTAATTTTGAACCAGACAAAAGGACAAAACAGCTGTGTTATGATCTAAATCTTGTGGAAGAGTAAAAAAAGGAATCCTCAACATCTAGAACTCACCCCAATTCCCGTTCTCTGAATTGATTACATTAGCTACTATTATTTCACAAATAGACATCTTTGTAAAAAATTAGTTCTAGAGACTTATAGATGTCTTTATCTACAATAAATCTTTATCTATTCTATTTTTGGGCTGAAATACAAGATGTGGAAGTGGCTTCTTAACCCTTTGCTTCCACCAGTAATAAATAACTAGTTGTCTATTATTTCACCATATGCCATACTCTTAATTATTCTATCAATGAAACCAGAGAGATATAGATACCTTGTATTTTCCTGTCACGTTATGAGGAATTTGATAAGGAAACCAGAAGTGCGGATATTATTAGCTGGTTTTAAGTATTTGGCAACAAATACTTAAACATTGATCCAGTGTTTCTGTCATGCTCACAATAGAAAGTACTATAATACAATCATTTGTATTTAGACTGCAATATTTTATATATTATAAGAGAGGAATTTTTCATCTTCAGAGAATGATATAGTTTCTCTTCCCAACTTTTTTTCCTGCAGCATTTCTTGTTTCAGTAGATGGAATCTTCTATTTACATTATCTCTATCATCTTTCGACCTTGTGTTTATATCAACCACTACTAACTTGCTTATTAATTGTTATTTTAGCTCTATGCTTCCAAAGGCTATTTGTACATTTCCCCACTGAAAATTCTGTTTCCGAAAACTAGAATAACGGAAGACGTCTTTACAGCTAGCTCAATAACTATTAAAATAATCTCAGAGCTGAAATACTGTAACTGTGTGTGTGTGTGTGTATGTGTGTGTGTGTGTGTGTGTGTGTGCATATGCATGCTACCCTCACTCACAATTCAGTAGGTGACTCTGAGCCAGTCATTCTCTCTTAAGCCAATGGGTCTCATAGACTTGAAAAACATACCAAATAAAAATACTAAATCTAAAAAGCACACTGTACGCTTCATAAACCTGTGTTTATCTATATTTCATAACCTGGATGATGGAATTGCCTTGAGCTCTTAGATGAGGAAAGGCGTTATCTAAATCTAATGGACCTCAGGCCTCAGACTTCCTGAATACCATTGGCTAACCCAGGATTCCCCAACCCCCAGTCCGTGGACTGACACTGTGAATGACAGAAACTGGGCCACACAAGTGCACAGGATGCAGGCAGGACATGAAACCACGCTCCCTCTGGTCCACGGAAAAACCTGTCTCCATGGAACCAGTCCCTGGTGCCCAAAAGGTTGGGGGGGACACAGGGGCCAACCTGTACCTGGTTTTTTTTTATGTTGAGGTCTAAGTTAGCTCTCTAAAAAAGTCTATAACACTGAGACAGTGTTATAAAATGTAAATAAAATGGAACAACTAATAGCAATCTGTACATACTTGATTATACGGGCATTTAGCACCCCACTGAAAGACCTGAAGGGCCAGTTTAGGGACAGGCCATCCTGGAAATGTTCTATATCAGGAGTGTCAAACTCAAGCCCCCCTGGGCTGGATCTGGCACATGGAGTGTTTAGATCCCGTCTGTAGAGCCCATCTGGAAATAGCAAAGGACCACGGTGCCTCTGCTAGTGAAAATGGGCCACGGGGGTGAGAGAGCATCCCCCATGTGGCCCGTTTTCAGCCTGAATGGACTCCTGCAGCACCCTGCCAGCTAAAACGGACCACAAGGGGGATGCCTGCAGACCCCTTGCCCCATTTTGGCCAGCAGGGTGCTGTAGGAGGGTATCTAGGCTGAAAACAGGCTGTGTGGGGAATGCCTGAGTGCCCCCCCTTCATGCCCCGTTTTGGCCAGCAGGGTGCTGCAGGAAGGCACTCCATCCCGTCTCCTCCTCCCCCCCCCTCAGCCAGCCCGCAGAGAACAACTCCAGTGCTAATCCAGCCCTCCAAGAAATCCAGTTTGACACCCTTGCTCTATATGATCATTAAGAGTCAACGTTGACTCACTCAATCAATCAAAATCTAGGCTAGAGATCTGGGCATCATTTGTACCTCTGCTCTCCGTTTGCAAAAGTCAACCGATTCAACCTTTAGTAGGATAAGGCTTATACTCACTCCTGACCCACAGAAACGTCCCACAGGATTGCCCATGACCAGTGGTAGCAACCACAAAGCAGTAGTACATGCCGGTGTCGTTCTTTTGGGTTGAACGAAAGGAGAGCTTTGACCAGCCCTGAAGGACGTTTGCGGAGACGATGCGGTTTGTGGTGTTGGAGACGTCATGATTGAGGCTGCAATTTGGGGAGCAAGATTTTTTCCAGAGAACCGTTGCGTTGGCTTCCGGTGGGGCCTCAAACTGACACTCCAGAGTGGCAGGATTCCCTTCCAAAACGATTTGAGAGGTATCTACGGGGTTCACAACGATGGACCGTTGCATCACCGACTTCTGATAGGTGGGATGCGTTGGCGTAGTCGTTACAACGTATTCTTTGGGACTTGTAGGGTTTTGATCTGTGCTATTGACTTCCTCTGTTGTTGAAATGGTTTTAGTGGTATCAGTAGTTGAGTTATCACAACCTGAAAATAGGAGAAGGGTGGGAAATAAATCAAATTTATCCATGCCCAAAGTCTTTTATCCAAGACTCTGGGCATGGTGGATAAAACAGAAGATATGATTATAAATATAGAAATCATCATACTCAATATCCTAAGATCTCAACATACAAACTATACAAGAAGGGAGAATAGAAAAAATGCCAACAATGGACCATGTAAAAAAGTTTCTGGTTTCATAGGAACCCCAGTCCTGATTACTTAAATTTTCTTTTTCTGAAAAGGTATAGGACAACCTGCTTGAGCAGGGGGATTGGAGGTCCCTTCCAGCTCTATTCTGATTGAACCAAATTGTGGATTCACTCAACACACTGACTCATAAGTATAACAGCATAAAAAAGCCAGAAGGGACCTCGGAGGTCTTCTAGTCAAACCCTCTGCTCAGGCAAGAAACCCTATAGTACCATTCCAGACAAATGACTGTCCAATCTCTTCTTAAAAAGCCTCCAATGATGGAGCACCCACAAGTTCTGGTGGAAAGCTGTTCCACTGATTAATTGTTCTCACTGTCAGGACATTTCTCCTTAATTCCAAGTTGCTTCTCTCCTTGGTTAGTTTCCATCCATTGTTTCTTGTCTTGCCCTTCTCTTTAAACCCAGACTGGGTTTTTTATGGTTAGCTGGTTGCTTGGAAATTCAATAGGATGAACCAGAGGAAATGTCTCTATGTCAGGTTGGGGGAAAAAGGCACAAAAACGAAGGGGGGGGGCAGGGAAAGTCATATTTCCCAATACATCTTGCAATCTTTCCAATAACAAACCCTCCCCAGAGTGCCTTTCCTGCTGGTAAAGCCACTGAACCACATCTCCATGACAGAATGCCGCCCCTCGTCAAAACCCCAAGGGGCTTCTGGTGGTTTTGGTTCCTTTTTCCTGCCTCTGTTGACAGGAAACAGAAGAGGACCACTTTTTATAAGGCGGAAAGTTTATGGCCCCTCCTTGCAGGTATGCAGAAGTCCTTTCAGAGGAAGCTGGAACCAGATTTGAGAAGTTTTCAGAGAAAAATACCTCTACATCTTTAAAGAGATTGTTCCAAAAGTGGTTTTTGAGAAGTATAGAGATGGCCTTGAAAAAGGAATTCCGCAACCGTTATCTAAAACCCGGATTTTCCTGGATAGACAGGAGCGGGTGAGGAAGAAACTCAAGATATTTCTGGCTTGGTTTTCTTTCATCTAAGACAGGAAAGAGATAATATCTCTGCAATCTTTCAAGATTTTTATGACACCCTCTGGCAATAAAGTCCTAATAGTTTGTGCAGTATCTTTCCCAGATTTGGCCTATCTTGGGGGTCTGACAGGGATTTAGCGAACATTAATGAATTAGATTTTTATCCTGCCTTTATTACCTGGTAAGTAATTCAAGGCAGCAAACATACTTAATCCTCCTTCCTCCAATTATTTTTCCCACCACAATAAACCTGGGTTTAGCAGCTGAAAGAGAGTGACTGACCCCAATCACTCAATCAACTTTGTTGCCTAAGGCAGTGTTTCTCAACCTTGGCAACTTGAAGATGTCCGGACCTCAACTCCCAGAATTCCCCAGCCAGCATTCGCTGGCTGGGGAATTCTGGGAGTTGNGAAAGCATGTAAAAATGCAAGTAGAAAAATAGGAACCACCTTTGGTGGGAAGATAACAGCGTTCCGTGCACCTTCGGCATTTATTCATGCGGCCACATGACCACGGAGGTGTCTTCGGACAGCGCTGGCTCTTCGGCTTTGAAACAGAGATGAGTCAGGAACGACTAGCACATGGGTGCGAGCGGAACCTTTACCGTTACATTGAAATAATGTGTTGGACACCTTATTGAATATAAATGTAATTTTCAATTTTAAAGCATGTGAATGAGCTGTATCAAAACAATGCATTATTATGGTTGTTCTTAGTTATTTACAAGGTTCTAATGATTAGGGATAGGGTCAGTTGAACCTTTTTGAGCTGGATTTCCATCTATTTATTAATTCCTTTTTATCCTGGGAATAGATGTTCGCTTTCCTCTACTTAAACTGTCTGAAAAGATAAACTTAATAGTGTTGCACTTTTACTTGGAGAAGTTTTTCTATTTGCGTGGTTCCGGTGATTGGCATAGGGTGAAATTTCCAAGCTGGATTTCTATCCACTGTATTCTTTAATTCCTTTTTGTCCTGGGAGTAGATGTTCACTTTTCTTTTTGTGTTCTATTTATACTGACTGAAAATATAAACTTGTAGCTCTACACTTTTCCTTAGAAGTTCTTTTGTGTTTTTCTCTTTAACATCTTAGTTGTATTAAAAGTAGACTTCAGGAAAGACAGTTATTAGGAAACAAATAACTGAAAAGGAAGTTTAAGTTAGTGCAAAGAAAGTCAGTAATCTGGCTATTTATCTGCATCTTTCTATTTTGGTTCAGGTTTTTGAACAACAATCCTACACATTCTCAAACAAATTACTGTTCTTACAAACAAGATTGATCAACTCCTTTTCTTTGGTATAAATTTGCCTATCAGCAGCTGTCCACCCCAAACTTAAGACTTAGCATTCATCCAGCAGTGGAAAGGCAGCAGCATATGATCATTCATTGAAGAGTTCTTTTTTGGACTTTCTTTCACCAGAAAGAAGACAAATTTCATTTTTGTCTCTTGATTAAGAAGAGAGAGAGAATTACCCATTGTACCGAATTATACAGAGTACATTAGACAGAATACTGGACGTTCAAATTGTGTATTCGAACACATCTCAAGACTGAAAAGTTAACACTCAAAATGTTTTGCACAAGTCTACCCTCTAAAGTTTTTCCTTTCAAATCTAGAAGAAATGAATACTTTTCCACATGATTAACAGGGTTCCAGCAATTCTTGAAATGCATTTCCTACACAAAGAAACCACAGTTACCCTACAGTCCCTCAATTAAGGCATTTGGAGCAATCTATAGCGAAGAAAATTCGGCCCAAAGAAAGCAGCAATGTGTTTGCTTAGGCTAGTGAGGAAAACACGAGTCTTGCCCATTCAGAGCATGTGAGCTTTTGCAAATCAGGAATTACAGTTAATTATTTTTTTTTAAAGACGGCATTGTACCATTTACAGTATCTTATAGCGGAATACTTGAGGATGTAAAAGAATATATAAATGACTGCAAAATAGGTTAGGTTGTATACGGTTTTCCATTAAGATTATTACCAGATGGACTAGTCAGGAGATGAAGCTTCCAAATGAATCATTCAGAGGTTGATGTTCAACCGTGATCCTTACTTTCTTGAAGAATTTAAAATCAGCCAGCAACAAAGAAAACAAATGTTTTCTGCTCCCAAACATGATTATCAATACATCATGTTGGCAATGTATAACTGGTTGATAAATGATTTTAATGATTCAAAATGATTCAAAATCACAACTGACTTTCCCAGACCTACTCATGACCTGTTTTTGGAATTACAATTGCAACACACTCCTATCATATAATTGCATTTTGGGCACTTGGCAACCAGCTCACCTTTACAGATGCTTGCAGCCTCCCGTGGTTATGGGGTCACCCATCTTGGTTGTACATGGACTTCTCAGTAAATTTTGAAATGTCATTCTGAACTGCTTAAATGGTTAATTATTGGCAATACTGTAGTGTGTTAATAGTGCCTTCTCTATCATTGCTCATTTGGTTGCCTTGCACAGCAGTAGTGGTGCTGGTGCTGGGGTTGAAATAGATTCTTGGGACTTCCTGTTGTCTCATCCAGCTACTATCCTTCCCCCCCCCCCCGCAGCATTGCCAGTGCTGCCACCACCACTGAGGAGTCCTCGCTCAAACCAGGTGCTGTGGCCAGCTGCCACTCTGCAAAGTCCAGGGCCCCGCCTTCCTGTGCAATTATATGCTGAATTTTTAATATTGCTTTGTTTCACCTGGAAATATTTTTTTCCCTTTATCTTGTAATTTCAGTTGTGTATTTTTTTATTTTTATATAATCGAAGGTGCAACCTGGAAATGGAAACAAGGCTGCTCTTGATGATATGAAATCACTCTCTGGAGGCGAACGGTCCTTCTCCACTTGTTGCTTCATACTCTCCTTGTGGTCCATTGCTGAATCTCCTTTCAGATGCTTGGATGAATTTGATGTATTTATGGTATGGTCGGCTGAATTTTGATGTATTGTAAAGCATTAGGTTATGGAAGGGCTAATTTGATGGGTAGCTTGGATTTTTTTTCTTTGTTTATTTGTTATGTATTTTTGTGGATGTTTTTATTGTTTTAATGTTTTTTAAAATTGTTTTATAATTTTAGAATTGTAAGCTTTCCGAGACTGTAGAAATTGAATGAATGAATAAACTTACACTACTTTTGTGCCATAAGTTTTTATCAGTCGTGCTCAGAGGAATCAGATTACGTAACTCTGAATTAAACAAAGTTGATGGGAAATAACTTATAAAAGAAAAAAAAAGTGGCATTGGAATTGGTCTTTAAGGCAATAATATACATTGAATCGTTTTGGAAATTTAAACGTTTTTTTAATAACATTTGGCACAACTTCAATATCTTTTAGGACATGGTTAACAGGAGAATTGCAATGGACATGATGCTGAAGATGGCAGACTCCCAACGTTATCGGCAGTTTATTTTGCTCACTCCTCAGAACATGAGGTATCTATTATACATTTCCTGGTCTCTATCCTTAAAGGCATTTTAATATTTTTTTAAAAATACTTCATATCATTTATCTATACTCTCAAATATACATACTTTTATGGTTAATTTACATTGGGAGTTCTAGAAGTATCCCAGATGTGATATCAGCAATGAATGCTACATTTTGAAATCAAATATACTAAATTGAGGCTTTAGAAATATCTAAGATTTAACTAGGTTAAATCAATGCAAAAATCCCTTGCATGAAAGTTTATGAAAGAGCCGAGGTGGCGCAGTGGTTAAATGCAGCACTGCAGGCTACTTCAGCTGACTGCAGTTCTGCAGTTCGGCTGTTCAAATCTCACCGNGAAGCGGTATATAAGTCTAAGTGCTATTGCTATCTATCTATCTATCTATCTATCTATCTATCTATCTATCTATCTATCTATCTATCTATCTATCTCAGGTTGACTCAGCCTTTCATCCTTCCGAGGTGGGTAAAATGAGGACCCAGATTGTTGGGGGCAATAGGCGGACTCTGTAAACTGCTTAGAGAGGGCTGTAAAAGCACCGTGAAGCGGTATATAAGTCTAAGGGCTATTGCCACTGTCTTATTTTTTGTTCTTTCCCCCCTTCTTTTCTACACTTTCCCCTTCCCCTATTTTTCCTACTATTTGCTCTTGTAGTTTTCGATTTTACATCATGAACTAATTTTTAAAAAAGCGCGAATAAGCTGAAGAGAGAAACTGAAATTGCGGAGGGAAAGAGAGAAAAGTCATTTGTCGTTAAACCTCCAGAGGGGGGGGGAAAAGAGTGATGGTGTCGAGATAAATATTTGTCGCAAGTCTTGTAACCCGCCATGTTAATCAAAACACGCTGATCCCGGTTTGTTTCCTTGCTCTTCCTAATGTAGCTTGTGCTTGCAATCCGCTGGGCACGCATCCTGGCGGGAATCCTTGTGACTCCGAGACCGGAAACTGTTACTGTAAACGCCTGGTGACCGGAAAGCATTGCGACCAATGTCTGGTACGTCCTCCCGTCTATGAATACTGTGTGGATCGAAGGAAGTTGAAGACAGAAATCTTTCGGATAAACTTTATGTCAGAGGTTCAAGGACAGGGAGTTCTCGACTTACAGCGATTCGTTGAGCGACCCTTCGAAGTTACAACGGAGGCTCTGAAAAAAGGGAGTTCTCGCTGGCTTTGGTCGTGGCTATGATGCCTGGTTGTGACTCAGTGGATGTCCTTCTGACTAGCACTGATGATGTTGCCTAGTTGGGTAATCAAACGTCTAGAAGAAAACAAGCAAGCTAGGAGATGTCCAAGAACTCCTCATTTCATCCCTGAGCTACAAATATTCTCCTTTATTGCATCTATCTATCTATCTATCTATCTATCTATCTATCTATCTATCTATCTATCTATCTATCTATCTATCTATCTATCTATCTTCTATTCATC